TCTGCCCCCTGTCTGACTGCTGGCCCTGGGCTGTGGTCCCTATCTGCCCCCTGTCTGACTGCTGGCCCTGGGCTGTGGTCCCTATCTGCCCCCTGGGGCAGAGTGACAGACTGCAGGAGGCCAGAGGGCAAGTGGGGCCTTAAATCAAACCCTATACTGAGAGCAGGATGGGCTGGGGCACCAGGGGGCACTGAGGGCGGGCACATTGCCCAGGAGACCTGCAGTGAGGGGGTGCAGTAGACTTCATGTCTGCCTTCAGACCCCGCCCGTCCCGCAGCGCCAGGGTGCAGAGGACACCAAGGGTCTTCGAGTTGAATTGTGGGCAATTAGCAGGACCCTCTAACTGCCGGCAGCGCTGGAGAAGCACATAGCCGCTGTCAGCAGTTTAATCCCCAGTAAGCGAGTGTGTGTGAGTGTGTGTGAGTGTGTGAGTGTGAGTGTGTGTGTGCGTGAGCTCCTCCGAGCGCGAGGCCGTGTGTGCGTGTGTGTGCGTGTGTGTGCGTGCAGCCCCCTGTGCAGCAGAATTCCTGGAATGTGGTGAGGATGCCAGCGCTGGGCTCGCGCTGAGCCCTTTATTGCTAACAGGTGATTTCTGGGTCATGCGCAGCTCGCGGGCGGGAGAGCGAGGGGAGTGGAGGGGCCCGGAGGACTGGTCGGAACCGGGCGAAGGGGAGAGTGTGATCCGGGTGCCCCTCCTTCAGGAGCTGGGAGACTGGCTCCCCCCCGCGCTCACGGCACACCCCTGTGTCCCGCAGCAGGGCGATGGACGTCACGGCAGAACAGGGCTCCGCTGGACCCTGGACACCGGGGCTTCAGGACTGCCTCCCCCGTCCTGCCTGAGCGCTCCTGTCCCTCACGGGGAGCTGGAGCGCCGGGAGAAGAGCAGGGCGGAGCTGGACAGGAGCCAGGGAACACACCTGCAGCGCTGGCAGAGAGGGGAGAGAGAGGAGAGAGAGGAGAGACCGGGGAGAGAGAGGAGAGAGAGAGGAGAGACCGGGTAGAGAGAGGAGAGAGAGAGGAGAGACCGGGGAGAGAGAGGAGAGAGAGGACAGAGACCAGGGAGAGAGAGGAGAGAGAGACCAGGGAAGAGAGAGGAGAGAGAGGAGAGAGAGACCAGGGAGAGAGAGGAGAGACCGGGGAGAGAGAGGAGAGAGAGA